GTGCCACCCGCTCCCATTTCATTTATCTCGTGCCAAGCGTGCCACCCGCTCCCATTTCATTTAGCTCGTGCCAAGCGTGCCACCCGCTCCCATTTCATTTTTCTTGTGGCAGGCGTGCCACCCGATCCCAGTTACAAATCAACAACAACCACAAAGAATCCCGGCAAGGGAACAAGAATAATATAACAACATCCCAGCAAGGGAACAAGAGCAATATAACAACATCCCGGCAAGGGAACAAGAGCAATATAACAACATCCCAGCAAGGGAACAATAATATCAAAACAAACATCCCGGCAAGGGAACAATGATGATAGTAACATGTGAGGCACAATGAACCACAACAGAGTCATAACAATTATAATACAAGACTCACGGGCATGTTTGACACCGACGTATAGATACTCGTCACCATGCCTATACGTCGTACTCCACAATTAACACGTAGCAAATAAGACACGACTCCTAATCCCTCAAGCTAAGGTTAGACCAAACACTTACCTCGAACTTCCACGGCCAACTCAAACCTCAAACACTGTTTTTCCTTTTGAATTCGGCTCCAAATCAATTGTATCTAGACATAATCGACTTAATAACATCAATAACGCTAAACAATCCAATTCCAATGCTTAATTATAACTTTCTACTCATTCTTCCCAAAAAGTTAAAAATTGACCCCGGGCCCGCTTGGTCAAAATACGAGGTTCTAATCAAAACCCGATCACCATTCACCCACGAGCCCGAATACATAATTTATTTTGAAATCCTACCCCAAAACGAGGTCAAATTCCCAATAATCAAAAAGCCCTAACTCTACCCAAATCCCTAATTTTCTACCCTTAATCTCATGTTTTAGGCCTAGAAATCTAGTGGGTGTTGATAAAAATGGAAGAAAACGAGCCTAGATTACATATCTATGAAGCTATGGTGAAGTTCCTCTTCAAAAATCGCCCAAGAGGTGTGGAGAAGATGAAGTTTATGAAAAATGGTGAAATTTGCATTCTGTTTTTGAACTAAAAAAAATAACTGGGCGAATTTGGTCTATGCGTTCGCGACAGGCTCATCGCGTTCGCGATGAGCTAGGCCTGAGAGACCTTCGCGTTCGCGGAAGTGGGCTCGCGTTCGCGGAGCACTAACTCCTCGAGCCTTCACGTTCGGGTCCAGGTGGTCGCGTTCGCGTAGGGTAAAAATGTGAACCCCTCCCCCAGGCCTTTAACCTTACGTGTTCGCGGGTGCTTGGTCGCGTTCGCGAAGGGTATCCCCCCTTTTAGCCTCGCATTCGCGTCACCAGCTCCGCGTTCGCGAAGAAGAAATTTGGCACCTGGGAGATTTGCCTTACGCGTTCGCGAGTGGGCCCACGCGAACGCGAAGAATAAAATCCCTGGGCACTGAACAGCAAAAACCTTCAACTTTAATTGAGTTCAAAACCTTCCGAAACTTACCCGAGCCCTCGGGGCTCCAAACCAAACATACGTACTAACTCAAAAACATCATATGAACTTATCCATGCGACCAAATCGCCAAAATAACCTCTAAAATAACGAATTAAACCTCAAAATCAATGAAATTTCTCAAAACTTCTTTAAACATCAAATTTTGCATTTTAGGTCCGAATCACGTCAAATGGATCCCGTTTCTTACCAAACTTTACCGACAACACATATAAATCATATTGAACCTGTATCGGGCTCCGGAACCATAATACGGGCCCGATACCAACGGTTTCACATAACAATTCACTTTCAAAAACCTTTATATTTTTCAGAAAATAATTTCTTCTAAAAATTCATTTCTCGGATTTGGGACCTCGGAATTCGATTCCGGGCATATGCCCAAGTCCCATATTTTTCCATGGACCCTCCGAGACAGTCAAATCACGGGTCCGGGTCCGTTTACCCAAAATGTTGACCGAAGTCAACTTAAATGCATTTTAAGCCAAAATTTCAGTATTTTCACAGATTTCACATATAGGCTTTCCGGCTACGTGCCCGGACTGCGCTCGCAAATCGAGGTGATGCTAAAAGAGGGTTTTAAGGCCTCGAAATGCAGAATTTAATTTAAAAATAAGTGATAACCCAAAAGGTCATCACAAAAATCCAACAATACACTATAAATGCACACAAAAAGGAGAAGAAATCACCGAAAAGAAGAGAAGGAATCACCGATTGAAAGAAAACACAAAACTCTGACGAGACGGCGAGAAATCGAGAAACCGTCACCACCATCGGATGATGAAAATGAACAAAGCTAATCATGAAATTGAAGGATGCTCTCTTATCTATCCGGATACGAAGCGCTCTGATACCATGTCAAGCTCATTAGGAGCTGGAATTTTGTAGAAGAAAATTCTAGAAGAACATGAAAGAGAAGAGAGAACACGTGAAGCTATTTTCTGTATTGAGAAAAAATGAATTAACCATCTGTTCTAAGTCTGCCTATTGTGTGTATATACAAAACATTAAAACGGGTCAGATCACAACCCAAAAACAAATGGACTAAAAAAAAATTGTACAAGAAAGAAGCCTAATTACATATAAATACAATTGGGCCTTATACATGTGGGCCTACCTAATCTATTTACTTTGCTGATGATGTATTATCCAACATATCATTTATTAATGCTAATGGTGAATCTTCTAGACATCTTAAAGCTAATGAAGAGAAAGGGAGAATGATTAATCCACACCTTTTGAGGTCATTTATTTCAAACATTCTCATATATGGATGCTCAATTTTTTGCCATTAGTAGAATTACGTGGTGCTTTATACGATTTAATAACTTGATTAATTAGCAAAGAATAATGCAAACCGTGTGAAATAAATACATAAAATATGTACACAATATGACCAGATCAGCTACTTTAGGGGCTCCATTCTAATTCAAAAGGAACTACGTGTCCTTTCTTTGCTATTTATTTCACTAAAATATTAGCTAAATAAGATAACGCTAATTAACCTTTTGCTTTTGTGTTTAGCAACAAAATCTTACCAGTCAATTCTGCTAATATTTTTAATACTTGGTCCTTCAACGTGTCAAAAAGCGAAAATAGTACCAACAATTCACTCCATTATAAGTACTAGTATCCCTTAGCTCTCTAACATCACAGTTATTAAATTTAATTTTACTATTTAAATAGTAGCCATAACAAGGCAAAATTTGTTCTTAAAAAAATGGCCACTACTGTCGTCTCTCCTCCATTAGGAATTAAACGAGTTGGCACCCACAACGGTACCCTTAATTGTGACGAAGCTCTAGGTTGCTTCATGATTCGTCTCACGTCCAAATTTTACGATGCACAAGTTGAACATATCTTTTTGTTATCAACTCTACTTATGTGCAAAACAGAGTCAGTTTGAAGGTCAAGTCGAAGTTTAGATAAAAGAAGACAGGCTGATAGTCAACATAAAAATAGCCAAAATTGATGTTGATCTTGTATTGGGTGATACCCTTTTTGCTTGAGCCCGACCGGGTTGGGTCCGGTCCGGAGCGAGTCGGGGCCATCGAACCCGACCTGGATGCAAGGTAGAACGACGGCCACGTCTACAACCGAGGTCGAGTCATTTCGAGACCGTTGCAGAGCTCGATATGAGTCACCACCGGATGGAGAAACACACAAGGTCGGAAGCCGGACTCGTAACGGATAACCAAGCGTCGCCGGATATCTCGGCCAAACGTGATTTTCTCAACCACTTCAGGCCATTAAGGCGTAATTACAGGGATCCACGATGTAATCAATTTACCTACCTTATTTTTACCCTTAATCAGAATGTATAAAAGGAGATCTCTCTAAATTCTTGTGGGGATCAAGCACAATTGTTCTAAGCAATATTATATTTTGCGATTATTTACTTTAACAGCAATTGTTGAGTCTTTATTTTTCCTCAACCTAAAAACCTTTTGTATCTTTTAGTTCACGGATCCTTAAAACCCCATATAAATTCAATTGTTATCCGGATTCGAGGGTAAACAGATCTTCCAATGTCATTCTTTTGCTACTACATGCTATAGTAACTTTGAAAATTAATAATGTTAAGAAAAATAGAGTAATTTTCATGGGCGGTCATTCAACTTTTTATTCATTACGCAAAAGTCATTTTTCAAAACAATTATCAACTTTGTGTTTTTATATTTTATTTATTTATTTTTATAATATATCCATACATTTAATTTTTTCATGGCACTCATTATCTTTAATCATATTCAAACATGAACATATTTCAAATATAAAAACAATAAAAATACTTATTTAATATTTATTTGAAATAATAAAAATAGATTCGTTTAACAAATGATAGCTTTTTATAGTTAATAAGAATTATAGAAAAAGTTTCAAAGATATTTGTGTTTAATTAAGTTTTTTTAAAGCTTTATCTGTTAATGTTATTTTTTTGACAGTATTAATCAAATGTGTCATTGTGCTAAATGTAAGTATTTTATTTATTGGATTAATGTGTATGGCTTGGCTGATAAATCAGTGAGCTTTGATTTTATAATTTTCATTAAAAATATTTCATTAAGCATGGTTAAGAACGTGGACTTGAGATTTTTTCACGGTAATGTTACCGACAAATTTAATAATGCTACTTATAGATGTTGAAAATTAATGTTAAGAAAAAATAAATATACGTATATATTATAAATACAATAATATTAAGTTATTTAGGTTATAAAAATACTTGGGTAAAAGTATATTATATAGCATATAATACATGAGGTGTTGCATAAATGAGAGGATTTATAATTTCAAGGGCATAATAGACTTTTCAGGTGAAAAGTTTGTAAAATCTGGTTAAAGTGACTGTTATGATAACTGGAGCATATTAAAATAATTTTGTGTAACAAAAGAAAGAAAAGTGACTTATGGGTAATGAACATAAAACTGATGACTTTTACATAACAAAAGAAAGAAAAGTAACTTTTGGATAATAAACACTAAGTTAAATGATCGCTTATGAAAATTACTCAGAAAAAATGCATATGTTAAGAATTAAGACAATCGATGTTGAAGGTATTGGAAACGCTTGATGCTGTGGTTGATGTTGGTGGAGTTTATGATCCAAGTCGAGATCGATATGATCATCATAAGAAGGGATTTGAGGATGTTTTTGGATTTGGCTTCACTACTAAGCATAGCAGTGCTGGTTTAATTTACAAGGTAAACAGCAAAATCTTAGCTACACCCATAATTAACTTCAAACCTCTTATGTTGATTATTTTTAGCAAAATGCAGGATATGACTGTGTACAATAGACCCTTTTTCGGACCCGCGCATAGCGGGAACTTAGTGTACCGGACTGCCCTTTTATGTTGATTACTTTTAAATTTTTCTTTTTCATGTATGTCCTGTATTGCACTTCTAGCAATTTGGAAAGGAAATCATTGCAAAAGAAGCTCAACTTGACAAAGAACATCCAGATGTCCAGAGGTTGTACTTGGCAGTTTACAAAAACTTCATAGAGGTATCAACCAGTATTTCATGCCTAACATTTTATAACCCAATATTTTGTAGTACTCATTCCAAATTTATTTTCCTCCTATTCTTAAATTGTTGAGTATCATTTTCCTGGCCTTGTTGTTGTTATTTACTTGTTGCTATTCTTCCTGTCGAACCGAGGGTTTTTCGGAAACAACCTCTCTACCCTCCAGGGTAGGGGTAAGGTCTGCATATACATTACCCTCCCCAGATCCCATTTATGGACCCCATTGGATTACTGTTGTTGGTTATTCGAGTTGCATCTACTAACAGAGGGGAATTCGCGATTTAGTTCCAACGATTCAGAATGAATGTGATCTTATTGTATGTATACGTTTCAAAAGTTTTATAAATAATTCTAGCAACGAAAATGGACACCATCACAATTTTACTTATTTATGTTTCATAACGCCCGTTTACCTTGTGTTGCAGTGGAAGTCTCACTTATTTGAGCTTGAGGAGGAGTTGAAGATTGATCCAACAATTAAATATGTTCTGTTTCAGGCAATTTTCATCCTTCTTTTTTATTTCCCGAATTGCAAGGTGTTTTATTGTTACTAGTAATTTTGTTAGGAAAAGGGTCAAGATTATCCCTTTACTATAAGAAGTATCTTAATTTTACTATCCGCTATACTTTGGCGCCATTTACACTATTTGCCTTGACATTGAAGTTCCATCTTGAAGTATAATTATAGGATAATCTTAAATCATAGTAAAAAGTAGAAGGATGAATTTGGACATTTTTTCGGTAATATTTAACACGTGGAATTAAGTAATTCTATGCTAGAGCTCCTTTAAAGTAACGGCGAAATACACCATTTGCTACCGACAAGGATATGAAAAGCCCAAAGTATAACGAAGGATAATTTTAGACCTTTATACCTTTTGGCTATTTTTCAAACGACATATTCCATAGCCGTGACCAGTGGATTTTTGTAGTTTCAAATAAATTTTGGAATCAAATGTATACTTCTTATTGTAGGACCAAAGAAGTAAGGATTGGGATGTTGAGGCAGTGGCAATAGGACCATACAAGTTTGAAAGCATATATGATTTTTTATTATTTTAATTTGGTATAATACGGAATATAGTGGGTTCGTTATTGTTGATATAATACAGAATATATGATTTATGACATCCCTCCAAGGAGCACGAAACAACAGCAGTACGCACGTTTGCTAGTCTTAATTTCAAGCACTTACCACATTCTTTACTTTTTAGTCGTCATATTTAGGTGCAAGACATCGACATGTCAGGCTTTCCTTTTGCATCACATATATAGCCACAAGCCATGAATGAAGAATCGTTCCTTAATACCAGTTTTGTAATATTTCCTGATCTCAATGACATCTCACAAAATATATGGGGCCTTGACATAATAAAATAAACACCAAGTAGTTGTCGACACTAACTTGCTGGCAAGGCTACCAACATTTTGCGAGATGTCACTGAAATCTTTGGTATTAAGAAACAGTTCTTCATCCATGGTCTTTGGCCAACTGATACAAAAGTAAGAAGCTTGAAACGTAAATGTGGTGCAACTAAATCTGAAGACCAAAAAGTAGAAAATGTGGTAATTACCAGTAATATTGTTATGTATTCAAGATACGTATGAAAGGATGAGATAATTTGAGGCTTTGGCTCTATTTATATTGCAGCCGGTAGTGTATCACACTCATAGCATTTTTCACACGCAAATGTCATTTATTAACTAAAAGTTTCAACCCCAATAGCATGGAAGAAGTCACTCCATCTAAACCTTTACCTACTTGCCGAAACAAAAGACATATCTTATGTTTATTGTGGGCTTAGACATTGATACTCGTGCTTATTTTACCGCAGTTACCATAATCATAATTGTCCCCACTAAAATCAAAAATATTTATTTCTCTTTTGAAGATTAAATTCTGGATCAACCTCTGGCCGTGTGAACTAGACAATTTTGCCCTTTCGCTTTCTCTGTTTCTGTACCCGTCTAGGTTTTTAAAATTACAATAAGGCATTCAAGAACTTCTGTGACATAAAATTCTTCTTTTATTAAGCTTGGTAAATATGATTAACGTTTACCATTTTTAGTGTCACAACCCAAAATTCTCACCCTCGAGAGTCGTGATGGCGCCTACTCGTGGAAGCTAGGCAAGCCAAGAACCTTTGCAAACATTAACCCATCTCATTTTATACATGATTAAATAATTAAATTATCCATGAATAGGCAATTAAAAGACAGCGGAAAGTAAAGTTTAACGGAAGTCTGAACTAAATATAGAAACAGCTTGTAGAAACCAATACAAGTCTCTACCCAGCACTTGGTGTCACAACACTGCACGGACTGTCTAGGATTACTACAAATAAGAGTTTGAAATAAAGGACATAGTCTGTCTCGAATACAAATATCAACAGAACATGAAAACTGATAGAGGAGACGTCGGGCCTGCGGACGCCAGCAAGGCTACCTCAAAGTCTCGTGGACTGAAGGTCGGCTCCCTGACTACTGCTGCGCACCGTAAGCTGCTCTGACACCTGGATCTGTGCAAAAGAGCACAGAGTGTAGCATCAGCACAACCGACCCCATGTGCTGGTAAATGCCTAGCCTAACCTCGGCGAAGTAGTGACGAGGCTAGACCAGACCACCACATAAACCTGTGCAGTTATATATATACAGCGGAAGTAGAGATACAGAGATAACCAGTCAATATGGGAGGGGGAGCATGCTGTGGGGAAGATAACAACTCCGAATAAAAATCATCAGATAACGGAGGAAAACAACATCACTCAGTCATAAACAAAGCATCAGAAATCAAAAAGTGCACGGCATCACCCTTCGTGCTTTTACTCTCGTTCTCACCAAACAATGATATAATATCAGCGTGCACGGCATCACCCTTCGTGCTTTTACTCTCTTTTCTCACATATAATCAATAGAATCGGCACGGAATGGTACATCGTGCGGCACGGCATCACCCTTCGTGCTTTACACTCTTTCCTCACAATAAACAAACAATGTACGGCATCATCCTTCGTGCTTTAACACTCTTTCCTCACGATAAACAAACAATGCACGGCATCACCCTTCGTGCTTTAACACTCTTCCTCACCCAAACAACAATCACAAACAAGGGGCAAGGAAATAAACAAAACAATAATAATAATCCCGACAAGGAAACACAATTAAACCATTAAATCCCGGCAAGGGCACAACATCAATAATCTCAACATCCTGGCAAGGGAACAATTTAATAACTCTTCGTCTTCTTTCACTTTCATTTCATAACTCACTTTACCACTTGAGCCAATGCTCCAAAGGGTCCAATTATTCCATATACTTACACAAGCTTTTCACAACAATTAGGAATCATCACCAAGGCATGAAAAATATAACAAAATCAAAATATTCACAATTTAAAGACTCGCGATCATGCTAGATACCAACGTATAGATACTCGTCACCATGCCTATACGTCGTACTCAACAATTACCACATAGCAAATAGGACTCAACTCCTAATCCCTCAAGCTAAGGTTAGACCAAACACTTACCTCAAACTTCCACGACCGAATCAATCCTCAATAACCGCCTTTCCTCTCGAATTTGGCTCCAAATCATTCGTATCTATACAATAATGACTTCAATACATCAATAAATGCTAAACAACACGAACCCAATGCCTAATTATAGCTTTTCCATCATATTTCCCAAAAACTCAAAAATCGACCCCGGGCCCTCTTGGTCAAAACACGAGGTTCAGACCAAAATCAAATCCCCCATTCACCCACGAGCCGAAATATATAATTTCTTTTCAAATTCTACCCCAAAACGAGGTCTAAATCAAGAAAAATCAAAAAGCCCTAACTCTACCCAAATACCCAATTTTCTACCTTAAATCACATGTTTTAGGCCTATGATTTCAGTAGATATTTAAGGAAATGGAAGAAAATAAACTAAGAATTACTAACCCAAGAGGTTTTGATGAAGAATTGCTTCAATGGTCGCCTAAGAACTTGGAGAAGAAAGGTTTTGTGAAATTTTTGGTGAACTCCCGTAATGGTTCTGTTTTGGGGTTTTTAAAATAATTGGGCGAATTAATGCTACGCGTTCGCGATGGGTCAGGCTTTTTGGCCTTCGCGTTCGCGGGTAGGGGCTCGCGTTCGCGAAGCTGTAGCTCTTGGAGCCCTCGCATTCGCATCCTTAGGGTCGCGTTCGCGTAAGGTGTCCTACCCATCCCCCTACCCAGGCACTTGGCCTTCGCGTTCGCATAGCCAAGGACGCGTTCGCGAAGGTCTAGCCCCCTGCTGCCTCGCGTTCGCGACCTGGTCTACGCGTTCGCGTAGAAGGAAATTCCCTTCAGCAAATTTACTCATCGCGTTCGCGTGGGTTCTCCCGCGAACGCGAAGAAGACCATACCAGAACTGAGAACCTGCAATTTTCACAAGTCTAAAACCACTCCGAAACACCTCTGAAACACTCCCGAGCCCTCGGGGCTCCTAACCAAATACATGCACTAACTCAACATCATCAACAAACCTATCTGTGCGATCAAATCGCCTAAATAACATCATTATCAACAAATTAAACCTCAAATTCAAAGCATTTTTCCAAAACTTCATCAAGTTTCAAATTTAGGATTTCAAGTCCGAAACATGTCAAACGACGTCCGATTTTAACCAAACTTCACAGAAAGGACTTAAACTATATATAAGACCTGTATCAGGCGCTGGAACCAAAATACGGACCCGATACCATCGCTTTCTAACCAAGTTTCATTTCTAATTTTCTTAAACATTTCCAGAAAACAATTTTTCTTGAAAATTCATTTCTCGGGCTTGGGACCTCGGAATTCAATTCCGGGCATACGCCCACGTCCCATATTTTCCTACGGACCCTCCGGGACCGTCAAATTGCGGGTCCGGGTCCGTTTAACCAAAATGTTGACCGAAGTCAAATTTATTCATTTTCATATCAAAACTTAGCATTTTTCACAGAATTTCATATTTAAGCTTCCCGGCTATGCGCCCGGACTGCGCACGCAAATCGAGGCGACTCGAAATGAGGTTTTCAAGGTCTCGGAAGCACAGAATTCATTTAAAACAGGTGATGACCCTTTGGGTCGTCATTTTTTTCCACCTCTAAAACAACCGTTCGTCCTAGAACGGACAAAAGAAAGAAGTACCTGAGTCGGAGAAAAGATGAGGATAACGGCTCCGCATATCAGACTCGGACTCCTAGGTCGATGCCTTAGGAGGCTGACCTCTCCACTGAACACGAACAGAGGGGAAACTCTTGGATCTCAACTGACGAACCTGCCGGTCTAGAATAGCTACCGGCTCCTCCTCATAAGACAAGTCCTTGTCCAACTGGACAGTGCTGAAATCTAACACGTGGGCTGGATCGCCGTGATACCTCCGAAGCATGGACACATGAAATACTGGATGCACGGCTGATAAGCTCGGTGGCAAAGCAAGTCTATAAGCCACCTCTCCCACTCGATCAAGAATCTCAAATGGACC